ATAATGCATACGGTATTCTTAAGCAAAATACAAAGAAAAACAGGATTGCATATTATTGAATACAATTTCACATCTTACTTATCACGCTATTCATAAGTTTTCCAGAAATGTTTGTACTTAGACACACATATATTTTATGTTACAACATTTAGGTTTAGCAAAGCCACTCTCAAGTTGAATCATTCACAGAGAGTTTCACAGAACTCAGAAGATCTGTTCTATTGATAGTTATGGTTTATTGTACTGAAAGAATACAAGTTAAAGTCCGCAACAAGGAAAGGCACATAGAATTGGGCACCTGAAAGTTTTCCGTATGATCTTCAGAGCTAGCTTCTGCCTGTCATGATGTGTGACAGTATGCATGGAGCATCTCCATGCAGGCCAGTTCCTTGTGGGCTTGGTCACATAAGTATGATTGACCACCCTTATGGCTGGTCTTAGTCTCTATCTCCTCCAGAGTTCTAGAAGATGCATTGTGGCCTAAGATGCATTTCCATAAATCATATTATTACCATAGACTCTGTGGGTGTTCCAAGGCATCCAGTTAACAAGCAGGGCATTCAAACAGACCCCCCTTTGGGCAAGATTAATGATGTATAATAGCTTTGTGTGGTGATACGTGCCTATTATCCCAGCACTTGGGAGACAGAGGCAGGAGGATCGAGGAGAGTTTGAAGCCAGCCTGAACTATATAGCAAGCTCCTGTCTCAAAAAAGCTCAATAAAGGAAGAAAGAAAGGTCCGCTCCTTGCTTTTTCTGTCTTCTGCTGCCATGAACTGTTGCCCCACTGCCATGTGCTACCCTGCCATGGATCCAGCTGAGTATGGACTGAAACCTCCATAAACAGAGCTAGATAAACCTTTCCTCTTTATCATTGGGTGTTGGGTATTTTGTCTCCACAAAGACAGAAAGGTAACTAAGATACAGTTTGGTACTAGAGAAGTGTGGTTGTTACTCTGACTATACCTGACTATGTGGTTCAAGAGCCTTTGGGAATGGTTTGTGGGAAGAGATTGGAAAGGTTTGGAGATCCCAGCTGAAAAAAGTAAAGAGCTAGAATTCCTTAGGCTGTTCAGTATGGGTGATTGTGGTCAGAGATCAGAAGACTGATCGAAATCTGGCAGGTAAAGCCTAGGCTTGGGAGGTTTCCACTGGGAAGAAAGAGTGCATTAGCTATTGGACTTCAGGTGATGTATGTTATGGCTTGGCAGAAAGTTCGTCTACATTTTGCTTTTGTCCAGAGACTTTGCCTGAGGCTGAGATTAAGGTTGGTGGACTAATTTATCTGGCAAAAGAAATTTCAAGGCAATCTAATGTTGAGGTGGTGTCATGGCTTTTGTTTGGAGCATTTAGCCAGATTTATGTTGAGAATCAAGTGCAAAGAACCCAGCAGAATGATTTAAAATGTTGTGAGTTTGGCTAGAAAGGAAGCTCCAGTAGAGCTATGGACTGCAAAAATAGAGCAGAGGAGATCTTGATTGCTGAGAAGGAAGAAGAGAATAGAAAAGATGGCCGGAGGGCATCACAAGAAGCAGCCATACTTTACCCTTCCACCCTCAAAATTACAAAAGTGAAAGACTTTGCTTTGAGAGGAGAGCTCTAGAGCACCGTTTTCCAGACTGGCAGTAGCAGCACTGTGTTCCAGAATGGCAGCAGCATGTAAAATTTGTTTCTCAGAATTGGATTCAGAGTGTTCAGTGATTCACACAGTGGATCCCTACAGCCAAGTGAGAAAGAAGCCCGGCTGTTGCTGCAGCTGACCTTCACATCATCCACGTGATGCTGGTGTTAGGCACATGCAGAATGCAAGAGTTGTGGGGTTAGGAAGGCTTCTACCCCTATTTCAGAAGAAGGCCTGTGAGACCAGGCAATGTGCCCCTGAGAGGGCAGTGTGTTAAGTTGTGAGTGTGAAGCCAAGTGTGCAGTGAAGACCACAGAAGTTTGGAAAAGCCAAGAACGTTGGTCATGTTAAGGAAACCTACAAGGAGGGAGCAAAGCCAGCCCAAGAGAGAAGACATAGGAGCTACCACCACCAGAAGTGCCAGAGGGGCAGAGGCACCCAAACATTTTGGAGCTCACAACTTGCCACAAATTGCCATGCTGCACATGGAACTACAGGATTTAATATTTGTCCTGCTGGAGTTTGAACTTGCTTTGGTCCTGTTCCTTTGTATCCCCATTTATAACTTTGGAATGGAAATGTTTATCTTGGGCCATTGAATGTTGGCAGTGTTTACCTTTCTATTCATTTGTACAGGGGCTCACAGCTAAGTGTTTGCCTTAAATCTTGGAGGAGACTTGGGACTTGGACTTTTCAGGAGTCTTGAAATGGTCAGGATTTTGGCAACTCTTAGAGATGGACTAAATGCCTTTTGCATAAAGGGATGTACACGAGTCTTTGGGGGGCCAGGGCAGAATGTCATGATTTGTGTCTGAATGTTCTCCCAAAGCTTCATGTGATCATGAGGGGCTCAGATTTTCCAGTTGCCTGAATCTAGTTTGTGATTGGTTCATTGTCTAGTGCTGGGATTGGCAATGTAATTAATACACCTGCCCTAGGTTCATTAGCCTGCCATACAGTATAAGGGAGGGAAAGGTTTTCTCTCCCCTTTTGCTCTTGTTAATTTTGGTATCTTCTGTTGCCTTGAAAAGTTGCCCCTCTGCCATGCCACTCTTTCTTAGAGCCAGCCAATTACAGATCGAAACCTTCACAAACTGTGAGTTAAATAAACCTTTCCTCCTTAAAAAAAAAAGGACAGAAAGAAAATTTATACAGTTAATGCTTGAAATTTGTGAGGGGTTATGTTTCTAGAGCACACAGAAAATGTGAAAAACCACGAATTTCAGGTATGTTCAGAAAAATGCCTATTTTTATAGTTTAAACCCTAAATATGCTAGGTCTCCTGAAGTTAAGTGATTTATTTAATTAAAATACTGTATTAATTTTACCATAGAACGTGCAGTGTGTTTTGGTGGCATCTTAGGGATCTTAAGACTTTAATAAAAACAAAACCCAGGACCCTCAAGATAGCTATAGGTAGTACAGCAAATTATTATTATGCAGGAATGCTGGTGCATCTGCTTGAGAAGGGTTACAGAACAGCAGCCAGTCAGCAGTGAGGAGAACTCAATAATGCTGTTGGAGTGGCTACTTGCAAACCGCGACCCCCCACCATTTCGGAGGATGTTTGAAGTTTCTGTGAAACTGTGGGAATTTCCACAAACAATTACTGGTTAGGTTCTAGGGAAAATTCATGAATGACTGAGCCTGCAAACTGAACTGTGACTTCGTGGGTCCATACTGTACATATATGTATACATAGATAAAATCGGTCTATAAATAAGACCACCATATAGATGACTATAGAGACTTATTGGGGTGGTGGGAGTGAGTTCAGTTAGGTTTGCCTTGTGATTTTGAACTTTATAATGGTGTGGGAATGATGTGCATTCAGTAGAAGGTGTGCTTAAATTTCTGTATTTTGATATTTTCCTGGGCTAATTATGATTGGTGAAATACATTCTTGTAGTGTGAACCATAACTGTCAGTCATCTGTGTGTTCCTAGGGTAGACAGCCAGCGCTTGATAGCATATGATGTTGCTAAGCTGTGATGTTTGATAGAATTCATTAGGATAGCTATGTTAAGTGCATCTCCAAGTTATGATGAGTTTACTAGAAGATAACTTCATTGTAAGTCAGGGAGCATCTGTATTCTGCAACTAGATTCTTTTAATAATATATTTCTCATATAGTTAAAGGTTTGTACATGCAGATATACATATTCAATTTTTACTATTTAAATTATTCCTTTACATTATAGTTTAACTCCTTTTACTAGATCCCTTTCTTTGCAGGCTTGTAAATTGTTTTAAATTTTTCCCCATAACATACAGTGCTACTACTGACAACATTGTTTTATATATCTTTGGGCACTTTAGAAGTACAACTTGGGGATAAATTCCTAGAAACTGAAATATGGGTCAGAGTCTTTACAAAGTTTATGTGCTGTTATCTGTGATAAAAGTGACAGAATATTTTGGAAGCAATTTAAATTCCCAGAAAGACTACTTATTGGTACTCATTTCATCACACACTCACAGAATAAATAATATGTAGTTTTGTAATGCAAAATTAGATACAGATTTTAGTTTTCCAAAGCATATTGATAATAAACTTTTTTTTACTATATTTGTAGCTCTGACTCCTGAATAATAATTGTATTTACTATCATACTGAGGAAGTTACTGCTGAAAGTCATGAAGAATGTGAAATTTCTCTAATGTGTAACAAATCGGTGACAATTTGACAGCTGCTATTGTTTAGATCAGTATTTAAGTAATATATGGGTGTGTATGATAACTAGCAAGTAGATTGTTGGAGGTAGCATCCTTTTGTAGAAAATTCCTTTTTACAAAATAAACCTATACAATTTCTTTTGAGAGAGTCACTCCGCTATGAGATCCTTTATAGGAAGAAAGGTGTTTTCTCAACCAATCATACCATGTAACAACCAATTTAGCCTTCTTTTATCAGCTAATTTTTCCACATCAATAAGTGTTAATTATTTGGAATAAGTTAAGTAGGTAATATTACTTTGTTTCTTATGAACTATTATAGTATCTTAAGAGACTTAATTTTAATATTTATTTTTATTAGCTACCTCAGATCTATTAAAAGAATTTTTTCTGTCCTACTTTTTTCCCTGTTTTAAAACATCTCTGACATTTTTTTCTTGACCAGTTTTGTATACTCACTCAGAGGACCTTAAGTACCATTTTTAGCAGTACTTTCATTCTTTACTTTTTATGATATAATTAAAGCTAGTTAGTGCCAAATTAAACAAATACAGCAGCAGATAAAATATGATTATACTTACAGTATTTTATGTTCCTAAAGGCCCTACACTGTGAAAAGATTAACTTTGTTTACTTGCATGAATCGCATTTTCAGTTTTATTATATTGTAATTAAGTGTTATTTATGTTATATTTTATAATAGGCCCTGATTTTGTTGTTTGTGATGAAGGCCATATTCTAAAAAATGAAGCATCTGCTGTTTCAAAAGCGATGAATTCTATCCGATCAAGGAGGAGGATTATTTTAACAGGAACACCGCTTCAAAATAACCTAATTGAGTGTGAGTTAATATCTGTGATTATGCTGTTGATTATTGGTATTGCCTGAGAGATAATTTTGCAAGTTTTATTATTTGCCTTTCCTCTAGTCCCTGATTATGATCTTTTAGATCCAGTGTAGTTTATTTTGAAAGAATACCAATCTTTTCAAATGAGATGATTTGACTCTTTTCTATTTTGTTGTTTGTGTTGCTATTTATTTCATTGTACCCTGTTCTTTATCTGTTCATTTCCTTTTTTCTGTTTTTTTATTGTGCTTATAGAAATGCTGTTTCACAGTGTAGGCTTATTTATTATAGGACAATTGATAATGCCAATGAAATACTCTGCAACTGAGTTAATATAACCTTTAGTATAGTAGTGATTACCTACTTACTATTTTCATTCAGTGTATCTTGTCTTCACAGAAGACCCTCACTGATGGTAAAATTATGGTTAGATTTATAGATCACTTGTTTTATATGTCGTAGTTCTTATAAAGAATTTTGATTCGGAACAAAATGTCCTTAAGTGTGTGTTTCTAAAACATTTATGACTAAGGCTGGAGGGGGATCTTTATGGTACGGCACTTGTGTAATATGCCTGAAGCCCTGAGTTTAATCCCTGGTATTTAAAATAAATTCATGTCTAGTATTTTAGGATGATTTTAATTTCAACTTCTCATCTGATTTATGTAGTCTTTTTTTTAATAGATCAGACTTACAACCAATATTTATTGTACACTTAGTTCGATATTCTTTCCTTGTGGCTTCTTATCTTTATATGATGTGTGTGTTTGACATGGGCATTCTTTGAGAAATTTTTCTGAGTCTTTTAAACTATCATTAATATGGTCAATGAATTAATGTATTCTCTCTTAGATCATTGCATGGTTAACTTTATCAAGGAAAATTTGCTGGGATCCATTAAGGAATTCAGGAACAGATTTATAAATCCAATCCAAAATGGTCAGTGTGCCGATTCTACCATGGTAGATGTCAGAGTGATGAAAAAACGTGCCCACATTCTCTATGAGATGTTAGCTGGATGTGTTCAGGTACAGTTATGTTCCATAATAAATTCTTGTTACTTTTTTATTGTAATCTCAAAATATTTTGTGAGTTAAAACTTTAATTATTTTGTGTGTTCTTTCCTCCTTTGCTTGTAGTATATAGTTTTAGTTATATCTCTTTGCATTGTGGTCAATAGTTCATGCAGCATTCAACTTTTAGTAAAAAGTTTCATTAGAAAGTTTAAAACAGAGTTGATTAATAGCTAAGTATCAACCTTAGTATTTTATTATGTAGATTCTGTAAGACAAAAGTTCCTTAAAAAGAAGACAGTTATATTTTGATTAAGAAATTCTGCCCTGACCCTAGTTCTGTAGTACATGATTCTAAACCTCCCTCAGTTGAAATAGTTGTAGAAGAGGCCAGTATGAATTAAGAGAGAAACCTCTTTTTTTTTTTTTTTCCGGTACTGGCAATTGATCTCAGGGCCTTGTGCTTGCCAGGCAGGTACTGTGCTGCTGAGCTACATCCCTGGCCCAGAGAAGCAATTTTTAAACTAGACTTTTAAAAGCCAGATGTGGTTGTGCACCCCTGTAATCCTAGCACTGAGGAGGCACTAGCAGGAGGACCATTGCTAGTTTGAGGCTAGTCTTGGCTACATAGTGAGTTCAAGACCTGCCTACATAGAAGACCACTATCTACCTTAACCTTTCCCTGTATTTTTTGCTTTTTCTGTATAGAGATTATGTTGAAAACTTAAGTTGTTTAAGTGGTCATTTAGACATACGGCCACTTCAATTTTAAACATGCCTGGTGTACTTTTTTTTCCTTCAATCAGATTTTATTGGTACATTTTAGATAGACATAATAATCACATTCATCATAGAGAATCTGCCTGGTGTATTATAGTATCTTTTTACCTGTGTACCATGTTGTGCAATCATGTAAAATACATTAACTATAATCATATGGATTACTCTGTGATTATAGTGGAGATACACATATATATTTTGCCTCTTTGAGACAGGGTTTCACTGTGCAATTCAGGCTGGCTTTGAACTCTCTTTGTAGCCCAGGTTGGCCTCGAACTCACAGTGATCCTACTGCCTCCACCTCCTGAGTGCTGGGATTACAGGCATGTGCTACCATGCCTGACCTTGGGTATATATGTTTTAAGAAAAATTTTTTTATATCTTTTTTGCCTATTTCTTTATAACTATTAGTTAAAAGCAATGAGAATTCTTAAAGCAGTTTATTTCATTGAAATACTTGGATTCATTTTCATTCCTTTTCTTCTTCATTACAGAGGAAAGATTATACAGCATTAACAAAGTTCTTGCCTCCAAAACATGAGTATGTCTTAGCTGTGAGAATGACTTCTATACAGTGCAAGCTATATCAGTACTACTTAGATCACTTAACAGGTAACCAGGATACTTACTGTTTTTATCTTCTTTGTAAAGATAGTGTTTTTCTGAAGACTGTTACACTAGTAATTTTGCCATGTCAGTGTTTTCTTTTCAATTTTATATGTGGATAAATTGGGTATCTTTAAAAGCACAAAATTTCTCATTTTAAAAACCCTCTAATATTGTCAAAATAGAATTAACCTCAAGAAGCAAATGGATAGGAAAAACATTTGCAGTGTATATCTGGGGTGCCTTTAATTTGTAAAGAGCTATTCATGATAAATTATGAATATGGACTGAGCTCATAAAAGCAGATGTAAATACATCCAGAGTATTTAAAAATACACAATCACATTAAGATGAATATAAAGTAAATCTATACAGTTGCTTCTTAGTTATCAAATCAAAAATGATTGAAGGCAGAATATAAGGCAGGACTTGTGCAATGCTATGTTATACTAAAACTACACACAAATGCTTGAGGTACACCAGATTTAAAAGTTGTTTTCTGAGTGGTTTTATTGTGAAGAAATTTTTAGTTTATCACTCTTTTCTATTTGCTTTCAAAAATACAATGCATAGATACTGTTTTATCATCAGTAAACTCCTGTGTGTGTGTGTGTGTGTGTGTGTGTGTGTGTGTCCCTTTGTTTCTGCCTGGGGTTGTTCCTCTTCACATAAAAAATGTAGCTTCTGTTCTGGAGTGAGATTTCTCACTTGTTGGTCACTTATTCTGGAACCTTTTCCTAAGTCATGTGCCAGGTTTAGTGGATACAGATTAGAAAGTGCCAGTCATCTCTTTGTGGATACAATAATTGATCACAGTACTAAAGGACAACGAAAGTGTGCAAGCATCTATTGAAAGGTACTCCATAATAGCCAAAATGATACCCTTTTCACAGTATCAATGCATTTTACATAGTAAAATTATAATGATACTCAAGAAACTTTCTGGCTTAGGGAAAATATTATTTGCATCTAAATATTTTACAGAACTGCTTCTTTTTAGGGTTTCTTTTTATGGGGGGACAGGGTCTTGCTATGTAATTCAGGCTAGTTTTGAACTCACTTTATAGCTCAGGCTGGCCTTGAACTCATGGCAATCCTCCTGCCTCAGCCTCCAGAGTGCTGGGATTACAGGTATGTGCTACCACACCTGGCCCAGAATTGCTTTTTAGGTGTTTTTTAAAGAAAAAGTTTTCTTTTTAGTTGATGAAGGAAAGTCAGTTTTAATGAGGCATACATTTTCATTTGTATCTATCGGAAGCTATTAGGTTTAATATACTGTTCTGTTTTGAAGAATAAAAATTGCAGGCTGGGCGTGGTGGTGCACACCTGTAATCCCAGCACTCGGGAGGCTGAGGCAGAAGGATCCTTTTGAGTTCGAGACCAGCCTGGGCTACAAAGTGAGCTCAAGGTCAGCCTGAACTGTATAGCGAGACCCTGTCTCAAAAAGACCAAAAAAAAAAAAAGAAAAAGAAAAAGAAAAAGAATAAAAATTGCATACAAAATTAAAAACTGCATATTTTTATCCCAATGAGAGAATTATAGTGTAGTTTTAGAAGGATGTCCAGATCTTTCATTAGCCTATGAATAATAAAGAATACTAAATTTGATCATTTAACTTAATATTTTTCCTTTGAAAATTTTTATTTTATGTTAACAAAATTGCTGCATGGTCAGTGTTTTAAAATATTCGGGAATAACTTACCTTTAATAGCCCATTTGAAATTGTTAACAGCTTTGTTGCAGATGTTAAATTGTAACTTTGTGACTGTAGCTCAATGAGAATTTAAGGCTCTTTTTTCCTGTCAGTGTAATTGATAAGAGAAAGTATCTACAGTACCAATTGCCAAAGCTTTTAAGCTCTCAAATACATGATTGTTAAATTATTAAGTATTCATGAATCTTTAAGTTGTAGACTGTGGGTTTTCCCTCTGTTAAATGTGACCTTTGCAATAAATTAGAATAGTCTGAATTAAGTAGCCCCTTTCAAAAATCATCAACAGAGGACTAAGTAGGCAATATTAACAGCTAGTCTGTCTTGATTCTTTTTATAGTCCACCACTGCAAGTCTGTTGAAATATCACCTTCTTTATCTCACTTTCATTGAAAATGCTTAGAGTATGGGGCATGGTGGCCCATGCCTGTGATCCCATACTCTGGAGCCTGAGGCATGAGGATGGTGGGAGTTGAAGGGCAGCCTGAATTATAGAATGAGACTTTGTCTCAAAAAAACAAAAAAGCTTGGAACTTTATCTGTTACACATTTGAAAAATTCTTTTACTTCTATATTAGACTCATATTGTGCTTGGTTTTAAGAATTTCACTTAGATTTTGCTTTTAGTCCTAGTAGTAGTTTGGTGTGTATGTGTGCATGGGTGCAGGTATTACTGCTGATTGAACCCAGAGCTTTCACACTGAGCTACATACTCAGCCTTTCTTTAAAATTTTGAGATAGGGTCTCCCTACGTTTTCCAGACTGGGTTTCCACTTGTAATCCTACTCCCTCACCATTGTATAGTCCTGGG